CAGACAGACACTTGAGACCAGAGCTAGCTCTTTGCATGGTACTGATCCTCTTCCAAGGCTTTCTTTAGTCTCCTGAAATGCCCTTCAAACCTTGCCCTGAACCTGTAGGCTTCCAAAGTTAACCACAACTAGGAAAAGCGAAAGGCATGTACATGCTTGCCCCCTTCCCCAGAAGCTGATCACATGTAGCACGAAGCTTGTGGCTTGACTTTGGCCTTCAGGATCCACATGTTCATAGCTGCACCCAAATGTGGCTGCTGTCCCCTAATTAACAGTCTGCCTCTCTGCAGCCCTTGCCTTGTTTATTGCCAATAACCCACCTCTGATTTCCAACCTAAAACCCTAGCAACCATTTGCAACCCAAGAAATGGATCTTTGCCCTTTTCCCTTAGCACTTCAAGTCAGGTAGCAACCCCGGCAGAGCCAGCGCCTTTATTCAAAACAGGCCCTGACTCTGACAAATGGTTTGCCAGCGTGGCCTCTCTTATCTTAATAGATTTGTTATGTGAAATGTTTTAGCTTAGAAGGTAAAACAAAAACCTGCTCTGCCAGTACACCCACCCGCTGTGAGCAGAGAACCAAACGAAGCCTTGGTTTCCCATCACCAGCCCTGGCTAGGTTCGTTCATCCCCGGGAGCTGCGCAGAGACAGACACAATGCAGCTTCCCAGGCTGTGACGGGCTTCACCAGGCTGCCCACAGCAAGACAGAGAAAGAAAAACTCAGTCACCCTGAGCAGACGAGTCTGTCAAGGCACACTGACTGCGAGCTGTTACGTGGGAAGGTGCCATCTCCAGTTTGACCATGACTGTACCAACATAAACAGCTCAAGCCTCTTAAAGAGCCTCGTTGCTTACTCCAGGCTCCCGCAGCACAATGATACTCCTTGTAAGCACTGTTTGTTGAGTCCCAAAAGCCTGACTAGTGCCTGAACTTTTCCAAGCCCAGACCCTCTCTTCAATAGCGTTAAGCATTCAGATGCTATCAGTATCCCCTCCCCAAAATTGCATGTTCCTACATGGAGCCAAGGGGACAAGCTTGGATCCTCATTCCGTGAATGCCAGTCGCACTCTAATGTCAACAGGGCCTGCCCACAGGCAGTTCAGTTATTGCCATCACCCAGACATAGAAGGCAGCAGAAGAGAAGGTAAGTGTCTTGTGTCCTCAGAGGAGGGACTGCCCAGGCACTTCAGCAGGCTCAAGATTTTGGAGAAAACACATGCTTCATAGGCTCTCTGAGTGCACTGAACAAGTCAGAGCAGTTAAGCACAGAGACTGAGAAATCTCCATGCTGGGATTTAAAAGACAGTCAGCAATGACAGAGACACAGTGTGACAAGAAGAGAGGGAGGGACAACTTACCTGTCAGAGCAACTGCTGCCCAGAGCAACTTTGAGATAAACATCGCCTCCTGACACACCACCACCACAGACCAAGCCTGTGCCACGATGCTGCTAATGAAACAGAATAATCCTGGGAGAAAGGAGCCAGTAAAAACAAGTCGGTGCTTTACCCCCATGTTCTGGCAGGACTGGACAAACAGGTCACCAAGAAAGGCGAGCAGGGTCACACTTTCCTCACTGCTTGGAATCCAGGCGGTGCAGTCAGTCCTTGGCCTGGGTACGGGGAAAATAAGCCGAAGGAGCCCAAAGAGTCCTTTCAAAAATAAAGCCACGCTGATGTTGCCAGTTGGTAACAGAGAGGCCACAGCAGGAAAAGATATAGTGAAATATACTATTTTATTGCTGCACACATGCTTACACATTTCTTCTTAAATATAATGTTGCTCTGATAAATTTTACAATCTTCTTAATTCAACAAGTGGCTAGTAGTAAATAAAAAGGACAGAGGCAACAGAACACAAAAAGGACACTGGCAACAGAAGAAAAATCAAAAGGTTTTTATTTTGTGATAAAATTATTTGCAGCAAGAATAAAGTGAATTAAAATCTAAGTTTTGACCTGGCTCACCTTAATTAGAGAGCTTGCCTCCATGCTGACCACCTGCTTATGCATGCTTTTTGATAGCCCTATTTTGCCAAAAGGGATGGGGGGGGGTTAAAGGACCTCGAGTAATTAGACAATCTGACGGGCCTCACAGATGTGACCACTAAGTGCATGCAGACAGATGAGGCGTTTGCTTGGCAGCCCACATGGAACTGCGCTACTGGGGAGGCAGATCAAAAGGCCACACTGACCTTTCCTCCCACGTGTACAAGTGCAGCCTCACTTGCTCCACACTTAAGGACGCAGGAATGGAATTATTCAAGAGTGGCCATATGGAAAATGCTTCCCAGCACTGCTGCCCCTCCTCTGCCTTCCTCCTGCTTTGCCCACTACCAGTGTCCATTTGCTTTAGCAGCTGAGGCATCTGCAGAGAAAAGCATTAGCACATTCCTTGGTAATCCTGTTTCTGCACCTCATTCAGTACAAGCAGAAGGCAAAGGCCATGTTCTGTTCTCTGGTGGCTTCGTGGAAGCCTTGTGCAGGGCTGTCACAACCACTGCTGTGGAAAGCTGACTACCAACACGTCAGATGTGGAATTTATGCACGAGGAGCAGAAGGGATGTGATAAACTAAACATCCTGCTTATGTTCAGTGTCATCTTCATCCATATAGGGAGGAGAAACACAGGGGAACTCAACCAGCTGGGTTAAGCTGTCGGTTGCTCTAGCAAGCTTTCATGAGCCTGACATTCCACTGAGCAAAAAACCAGGCAGTTCTGCTTTCTTCAAAATGTATGGGACCTATGAAGGACCCCTATGGACGCTTCTTTCTCCAAAACATATGGGACTTCACATTAAAGCTTTCTCAGTAGCTCTTCCCTTCCTCAGGTTTACTGAGATGCCTTTATCAGTTCAAGTTGTGCTGGCCTCTTTGATGGTCCTGTCAAAGCCACACTGAGCTTAGAGATGGACATGGAGGTACATTCCACAAATCACACAACAAATGCACAGCTCCTCTCCATGTCACCACCCCAAACAGAAGCACACTCCTGCTGCTCCCTGCTTCCACACAGCAACACACCCCTGCAGGGACACGTCCTCTTCCCTCACCCTAATACGGCTGCAGAAAACAAACCACAAGAACTCCTTGCACTTCCTCACAAGCATTTTGAAACAGAGGAGTTGAAGCACACCCTGCTTGAACAGCCCTGCCACCACCATCCCCTGCCCCAGAGACTTGTTCTGCAAGAGACACCAGTTAAACACAGATGACAAAGGGCACAAGCATCCAGGGTTCAGTTGCGTCACTGCACCTCGTTCCTGCCCTCCCCCAGCTCTGTCCCCAACTTCTGTTAAGTGCAACTCAATCTTGATACATCATTTTGCCAAAGCCCACCTTCTGTCAAGTACAGCAACCAAACCCCAGTGCCCCCTCCTCACTGCAACCAAACCCAGCCTGCCTAGTCCAAGTGGTGCCCAAAGCTTGCCCACCTACCCACAAACAGCTTCAACACATGCCAGATACAGGCAGATGCTCTGCGCAGGGGCAGCGAAGCTGCAGTTCTCACACGGTTTGGGCACATCAGTCCCTCACCTGGTGAGATTAACAAAGAAGAGAAACCCATCCTCCCACTACATCCACACCTTAAGCAAGTCCCTGTCAAACACTGGACCTCCAAACCCATTCCTTAACCATGTGAAGCACCACCACCATTACAGAAAATAACAGCCTGAAGCTGCAGGGAATCCGTGCCCAGTTCCCACCTCAAAGAATAAAAGCACACCTGACGTGGATTATTTCAAGCTCTTGCCTCACAACGTGACCAAAATGACAATATGCATTAGTAATGGCAGCCCACTGCCTGTGCAAGATTCTCTATGTGCTTCACACAATGCCTCTTCTCCCTCCCAACTCACAGCACGGCAAAGTATCCCTGGCCTGTGCCTTGGAGACCCAAGACTCTCGTAACATGCCATTCTGGAGATGAACAGCTCTGAGGGCAGCCTGTTTGACAAAGCAAGCTTTATGCAGGGGTATCACCTGCTGATTAGTGCCAAGGAGAAAGAACATCATTACCCTCATTAGGAGTCCAAGGAGACAACACGAGATAACATGACCTACTGCAGAACACAGACTCAAAAACATTCAATAGTACAAACAGTGAATTTCCTGGAGAACAATGAAGCTACAAGGCTCAAGGCTGAGCAAAGCCAGAAGGTCGACGAGTGGGACAGCTGCCCTGTGAGAGACTCAAAAGGCCCCTTTTCCTTTTAAAAAAGATTTCTGGTGACTCCTCTTCCCTGACCCACCAGCAAGTCAGTCTTGCTCTACCACAACAGACAAAAAGAAAGGGAAAAGTGCTGTTTACAGGAAGGTGTTTCCTTCCCCCGTTAGGAAGAAAAGGAGTGCTCTCCCTTTTCTTATGCATTGAAAGCTACTGCTTTCTAAGAATGGAAGGACTCTGGTTTCTACTGTATTCCCAAAGATGTTTGTTCAGAAAGCAAAGCTTTTAAATTCTGAGCACTTCAAAGCAATTGAAAGCTAGGGAATGCTTGGAAATCACTTTGGTTTTTTTCATGTAAGAACTAGAATAGCAGGTGAAGACAGTGCCTTCCACATAGCCAAGTACTCCTGTGTCCCTCTTAGGGAAGTACTGCCCACCTTTGCCAATCTTGTAACGCTGACAGTGAAAGAAAGGCCACCTCCCTTCCAATATACTTATTTGGAGAGTTTAATCCAGTTTTCCTCCTCTGCTGGTGGCAATTCAACAAATATCCTGACCAGTTTCAGAAGTGTGCTGTTGGGCAACAGAACAGGATGGGTCCTAACAGCAGGCAGTAGCAGTTCCCCCAGAACAGCTCCCTTACCACCCGCAATAGCTTGCTGTCTCTTATCTGCATTGTATTGTTCAAAGGAGCAGCTCCTGATTTGGGCTGAGCTTTGGGAGCTACTTCTGAAAGGAGAAATAAAAACCAAAATAAAACCAAACACAAACCAGACATGCAAATGTTCAGACATAAATAAATTAAAAAGAAACCATGCCAGAAAGTGGATGGGAAGGAGGACAAAGAAGGGGAAGAGAGACATTCAGAGACTTGGGTGCTCTTGCACTCTGAGCCAACCCAGTGGGGGCTACGCAGGCTGCATATGACAGGCAGGGTTTGCACATATCAGCACTCAAGCCCTATACTGGCCAGGAGGTTTTCCAGAGCTTCAAGTTTCTGGTTGGCTTCCTCGATGGCACTGTAAGTCTGCACGTTGCTGGTGATGTGGAAGCGGATGTCATCAACCAGAGGAATGGAGTCAGTCTCCTGCCGTTCCTCCACAGCCTCTGCATTCTCCTTCACAGCAGCCACAAACTCCTCCAACTCCACCAGCTGGATGGGGTGGACAAGAAAACCATTAGGAAGACAAGACGACAGGCAAAGGCATGTAAAGGGTTGGGATAATGGGTTCAGTCACTGTTGAGGCATTCCACAGAAGAAAAGGGAATGCTAAGGATACATGGAGACCCAGATCTTCCTACATCTCCTACAGACACTGCTTGGAGATGCATGCTGCCATTCACCCTAAGGAGGCAGTAATCCTCCAACAGAAAATGGTAACAACTGTAAGCAATCTGCACCTCAAACACTGCACTGTAATACTCACTCACTAAGCATCCATAGTTCTGGTATTGGGGCACATGAATATACACAATATTCCCTCCAAAAAGGCTCCTCGGCAGGAATCAGGAGATGCTGCCGGACACTTTTGGGAAATGTCTTGCAACAGGCAAGACAGTGGGTGCTTGTGGCCAGTTCGGAACCAGGGGCCACAGATGACTATCCTCACCAGGGCTCTCAGCCCCAGCACCAAGAGCCGACCAGCAGATCACAGCAAGGCAGCTGCTCTGTTCTGCACCCAACTTGACAGAATCAGGTCACCTATGAATGATTTTGCATCAAGTTCCCCAGGAACATGTGGTGTGCTGAAGGGTGAGAGGCAGCTTCCATCTGTCTACATTACCAAACTGTGCCTGGGCATGGGAGGTTGCCGAGCCCTGCTCTATGCTACCTACACTACCAAAAATCTCTCCCTGTTGCCATCATCAGTGCATCTCCACAAGGTGCTGGCAGCTGCTGATGTCTGAACAGCTGGCGTGGCTCCATTTGTGCCAGCACCCTTAGGAAGGCACATTGCCAGTGCTGGGTCCAAGGACTCCCACTCAGGCTAGAGGAGGGGAATGCAAGGGGAACACACTAGCAAAGCCCTACCTTGCCTGATTACTACTTGGGATATTCATCAGTCAAATCCCTTTTTCATAAGCCACAATCTTGGTGCATGCTGATGTGTCTATCATCCCCAAGCTATACACTGAACAAAATAACAGCCCCAGAATTATTTCCTTTGCTGTTTCACATGCCAAAAGGAATTTCACACCTTTCAAGCTGCCGGTGAAAATATTACACTCCCATGTGAACTGCACAAGCCATTTATAAAGATCTGTCTGAGGATAAAAAAACCCCTTAGATTCTAGTTTAACCTTCCGTATGGCAACTTTCTCCATGAGTCCCGAAACTTCAAGCTATAACCACTCAGGATAACACTTAAATGGAGCCCCATAAAGAAAACTTCAGTGTTAGATTCATTACTTCTGGCGATTCAATAGCAAAATTTCCCCTGTGAAAACCCCTACTGTTAGATTTGTCATCCTGGAGGAGAACAGAGATCACATTGATTTCTCCTTTCAGTAGCATTATGCCAGGAAGAACTGTCCCCAGCAAACACCAAAAAACATTTCCTGCACAGAGCTCCCCGCACACCCCACTGGGTTCTCCAGGCTGGTGTATTCAGGCAACACCACTGTTGCTCTGGGCACGGTGGCTGAAAGCTTGGTGAAAATCACCTGCCTGTGGCACTTGCAGAACTTTTCGGGCAGGTTTTTCACCCCACAGTTGACAGGGATGTGCTAGACAGCCACCAGCATCTGGCTTACTGCAGTGACATCAGGTACTGCCACACTCCTCATCCCCTGTTCTAACTCACCATGTGCTTTGCTACTTAACCACTGCTCATTTTCAGGAAGCACATTAAACCAGAGAGGGCAACCATTTATTACGGACCAAAGTACAACCATTAAATCTCTTGTATCTATGGCTCACTGTGCAGTTAGATTTATGGGCACATGTGGTAAGTGCAGTGGAGAGTGTTTCTGCTACCTTCTCGATGATCTTTGCCATGTACTCGGTGCACTGATCCTCCAGCCGGGTCAGCTGGAACAGCTTTGCAATCCTCCAGATGCTGACAATGTTGTCCTCATCGAGGATCTGAGCCAAGGTCCTGCCACAAAGGCGCTTGAGCCCAGGCAGCAGGTACATGTCTGCCACGCACAGCACGTCATAGGCGTTTTCTGGGGACAGCTGGCAACAGAAAGAGGAGAATTACTGACCAGTCCTAGCCACTTCACTTGTCTCTGGCAAACTGCCACCTTCTCTTGTGTTTTAGCAGAGATTCCCTAAAGCATTGTTTGGCCCATTACAGGACAAGTGTTAACAGTACTATGGAGAGACAGGAGCTGAATCTTTCAGGCCCTTTCAGGTCTTCCACTTCACAGAGAAGTTTAAAATGCTGCAGAGGCAGTTTGCTCAGCACAAAGTAAGAAGTGTGCCATGCTGCAGCTAACCCCTCTAGCTAAGTGCAAAGCAATGCCGAAACACTCAAGTGCATCTGAAAGCTGACTGCTAAGAAACATTCAGTGTGGCAGTGGAAGGAGGTAGCTTTTAACAGAGGTACTGAAAGCCCTCCAAAGAGACAAATGGAACAGGCTGGCAGAACAGAGCACCTTGTTCCCACTAGGACTTTTCCTCCCATTTTGTACTGCTGGACTCGCATTTTGTGAAAAACGGGCAAAATTCTCTTAAGTTCCTTCCTCAAACTGGCTCTGCGAACTCAGCCAGCACAACCTCCCCAGCACAATGATACATCCAAGGACAGAAAATTGCACCCCAAATAAACTGTGGGGCCCAACTAGGTAAGGAGTAAAGTCTGCACATCAAATACTACTGGAGCTTTAACAAGCATTCAAACTGAACTAAATTCATATACCAGATGCTCAAGCTTACACTGTTGTGAAGGGTCTTTAACATTTTTAAGCTCTTGAGCTAGAGAACCACCCTCCCATTTCCCTCTTGGATACTTTTGTTCCTTGCAAGTGACTTGAGAATAAAAAATGCTGTAGATAATGTTGAAGACACCACATCCAGCTTCACTCAGTCTCTTCCCCCTAGCTGGGCAAATCCTATTTTACTCAGCCATCTGCATCATTAACCTGGAACCAGAGCCTCTCTCTGCATAGTTCTGTTCCTGCTAACATGAAGCGCAAAGAGCACAGTTACCCAAATCCATTTTAACAGCAAATCTGCAGGATGCAGCATACCCTGGCTGTGGAGGAGGTGACATTGTTTGTGTTTAGAGACCAAGTCACACTGGTCTAGATTGAGGAATGGTAACTCTGGTGCAGTGTGGTCCACTGCCCTGATAACTGGTCGGCAGCAAAAATGCTGCTGTTCACATCTACACACGCGGTTGCTCATTCTGACAACTGCAAAAGGCCAATTATTTCTTCCCCTACAGCAGTCCACACTGGTGTTTGGAGAGACTACTCACCACAAACATCTCAGCTGTATAACACCCTGCAACAGCTGTGCAGAAGGATGCAAGATGTATCAGAGGCATGTCATGAGTGCTGTAGTGCCACAGTGGTGTAACAAAGCTCTTGGGGATTATTAATCAAGTGATGCTTTGTCCTTTCATAAGCTCCAGGAACCTCATGAGTTGGAGGCATTTGAGTCTAGTACTGATGACAGCAGCCCCCAACTGCTTGATCAAGGACAAACCTGGCAAATGTTCCTCCAAAAGCTCCCCTTGAGCCCACACAAGTATTCTGATCAGCAACTTCTCTTTTTGCCTGGAACCCTTTCTGTCCTCTGCACACACTCTTCCCTCCAACTGCAAACACTGTCACTACTACACAGCAGAGAGACATATAAATCTTTTGGAAAAAGAAACGTGGAATTGGGAGCGCTGACACTTGGTTGGAGAAACCCAGGGCAGGGAGAACACTCCACATGTAAGTGTGGAGCTTGAGCTATATTCCTGGTTTCCTGATCATTTTTTTTCCTGGTTGTTTTTCATGACAGATGAACTGTCTGCAGAAGCTCAGATCTTGGCCGCTCAGTTTGAAATCCAAGCTATGCACTGTTCTGCATAGAAAACACATCAGCAATATGCTTTCAGCTCCTACACATTGTTGTTGATCTGTCCTCCTGCTCCAAGACCAGACAGGGCAGCTGAGGCACCCCTTGGAAAGGGATTGGCTGATTGGGAAACATCCTTTCTGTGAGCCACCATGAGGACGGAAGGCAGACTGGAGAGGTGCAAGGGAACAGGGTCATGCTGCAGTGCAGTCACAAGGTCAGGAGGATCTTCACAACCCCGACATGTTCTTTCCCTCTCTGCCTGCCCTTTCAGTGCATGGCTGAGGGAAGAGTGTAGACAAGTGAAGCGTCTGCTCTCTGGCATACCAATGGCAATCCTGCCCTTGCTGCCTGCTAAATGCATCTCTCCTTACTGCACGTTCCCTGCTGCTACTCGGAGGTGGACAGATGAGCAGAAATAAGGTCACAGCTGCCTGCACTCCCTGTATGTGGCAGCTAACCCAGAGCACAAATACTGCTTGGGAGAAGTGACACTGGCAGGTGCAGCAGCATTTCTGATCACTGCCCTAATGCCAGAATGTATTTTGGCATCTTGTAGCTAGACCTGCTGAAAGCATTTGCCACAAAACCAAAGCAGGAAGCTGCTTAAATGCTGAGATTTCCTACACCTTACATTAGGCTGAAAACTAGGTGGGTTAGGGCCATTTTGTTACTGCTTGCAATACTGAGCACGGCAAGGCGTTGGTCTCCCAGTGGAACCTTTGCCCACCCCAGCAATAAATAACAGTGGAAATAATGACTTGCTACAAATGGAAAAGTGGCTATGATGCCAAGAGTAAACAAACAGAATCTCTCAGCCTTTCCATATCTCCAAATGTGTTCAATCTGCCATCTACTGGCAGCTGCTCACCTTATCCTTCCACAGAGCCTAAGAGGGAAATCTGCAAAGCCCTGCATTTATCATGCCAACGTACAATGTGCAACCTAATTTCCAAATTTTTATTATGGGATGAAAGACTAGGGATTTGCTTCCCAAATGTCATGCACATAAACCAGATCCCTGCCTGGCTAACAGCAAGTCCCAGTATGTGGGTTCCCGAGACAGAAGTGAGGTAGCAGAGTAGGGCAGTGGGATTTAAGAAACCACACACACACCCTGCTCCAGATTCTGTAGGAAAACATGGCTGTGAACACCTCCAGAATTAACCAGCACACGAGAAAAGTCTCCATGGATGGCCTCACCTCTGTATCATCACTGTAGATATAGTAGAGGACCCGGATGAAGATGTCTTCTGAGATGTTGTGGAGAGTCACCACAGGGATGCTGGGCTGTGTCTGCAGCTCCTCACTCTCGCTGAAATGGTCTTCAAGAAGGGCTTTGAAATAATCACTGCGACCACAGAAAAATGCCTGGAGAGGGAAGAAAGATGCTAGTGTTTTGGTCTTTCTCACTGCACCAAGCCAAACAGCACTACCAACCAGCTGCCAGAGCAGCTCAAAGATATTTTGGAAGTTCAAACTCTGTAACTGATTCTCCCTGTATTTTGAAGCCGCATGTCCAACATTTTTCCATACTTTATTTCTATCCATGCCTACCCTCAGAACCAAAAAAACAATTTGTAAACTTAAGAGATTTGAAGTAGCATAGTATTAAGGCAGGAGTTTGAGTTCAGGTTGGATCTCAAAATCCGTTCTTACATCTGTTTACTTGCAGATCAAACATTCCCCTCTCCAGGTGCTGAACTTAAAAGCCAGCAGTAGCAGATTTTGCTGCTGTGAATGCTGTAGCTGAATCCGTAAGTTTATCTCCTCACCTCTGCAAGGAAGACAGGTTTGGCTGTTTCGTTAAATGTTTTAAATATAGTTTCCAGCTGCAATAAGACACTTGATTTTCCAGCTGATGAGGCAATGCTGCTTCTGCAGAGTGTATCCAGCACTGGATGAGTGGGGGAGACATGCGGACTAGACTCAGGGGGAAAAGGGAGGAGAATGAGCTATAGCACAAGCACATACCTTATGGCACAAGAAGTTGTAATCTGCCACCCGGAAACACACATCGGGACAACTGTTAAAGTTGTCAGTGCTGTCAAATGGCAACTCCCCAAAACCAACCTAGAAACAGAAACCAGAAAACCCTACCTTTAACATTCGTGCTTTAAACACACTCAGGGTCCTAAGTTTGGACTTCCTAGTCTTCCCAGAAGCAACCACCCATCCGTTCCCTCAGCACAGCACAGAGCATCAGAGATGCAGAATCAGAACACAGATTTCAATGTGGGGAACTGAAGTCTTTGCACTCCTGATAGAGATATTCCTGGTACAAGTTACAGCTGCCTCCCTTATCCATGAAAACTCCTTGAACCTCCATACACCTCTGGAAAGCATTTCTGTGCCACCTAACAAGGCAGATAACCAAGTGGAGGTGAAGTTTACTTCATGTAGTAGGTATCATAAGCATACTAGAGCTTAGGACTAGCCCTTTACTGTGTAGATGTACAGGTAGATGTGGTAACATATAAATTACAGAGAGGTATACACCAGTTTGAAATGGTTTGGCTACAATTACTGCCTCACTTGAATAATCCGACATTTCTAAAGAACATTTTAAATTTCTAATTTGATTTGCAGCCAAAGGTAGTGTTGTTGCAGTATTAATACTCTAGTGAATTATTTTAACACCAACACACCTCCTCCCAGTCCCACATGCCAACAAAGACAGCACATACACATATATTAAAAAAAAAACACAACTGTTGGTCTTATGTTATTTTAAAGTGACACTTCCAAATATTTTCACTTTCACCTTATCCTATATACAGGGTAATTCAACTGTGAAAAAAAAGTTTATATTCACAGTCATGTAAACAAGACCACTAATCTCTGGAAACAAAAATTTCCCCTGGTTCTTGTTTTCCAAACAGATGCCCCAAGCTGCCTGGGTCAAGGAGTTTATTACCACTGTCTCTCATCCAGGGAAGTTACATCCCAAGTTTGCATCTGGGAGAACCCTGGGGTGACTGTGAAGATCAGTCTCCCAATTGCAGGCTACCTAAGCACCATTTCCAACAAGCCTGCCTCCATCCTAACTGAAAGCAACTGATTTTCAGCTTTAGTGAGGAGTCAGATGACTCCTCCCTCCCAAACTAAACAGAGACACAGCCTGCAGCACACTGGGTTCGTGCTCCCAGCCAAGCTCAGTTTGCAGGCAGTGAGGTTTCTCTCACAAAACAGGTTCTAGGATATGGCAAGGCACCAAGCTGGCAAAAGCTCACACCACCACTGAACATGACAATCTGGACCCATTTGCCAAGCTCTTTGTCCACAGCAACATTTGGCAGTTTCTGACTCCTAATCACAAGACAGCCAGCCCAGTGACATTCAGATTGCACACACGGCTGTCGCAGTAATGCTGCCTCTCCATAGCACAACTCTCCTGTGAGTTCTTCCCCATCGAGGAACTCCTCTCCCTGAGCAATTCAAGGAACACTCCCCACCTGATCTACTACCTGCTTTTCATAGGGCTGTAACACAAAGGGCACCTCCAGCTTTGAAGATGAGATCAGATTATCCCATTTGAAGATTCCCCAGGCTGTTATTTTGCTGTTATCTATGTTTCATGTTTCAAGGCAAGGAAGAAACGGTGGTCTGGGGATCTGCAGCCACACTCTCTGTGGCATTGCATTACAAGCGCTAGTAGTCACGATCCAACTGCCCACTCTCTTCACCTTGCTGCTACCCCCATCCAACGCCCACAGCTTCCATGTTCTCTCCTAGAAATTCTGACGTGACTTTCCAGGCTACAAGTCTGCAGGCATGTTACAGGTAAAACAAACATAGAAACAGGCTTTGACAAGATGCCACTCTTCGTAGCAAAAGAATTTAAATTGAGACATAAACTCCACATCTGCTACATGCATCCCCCTTCTTTGCTCCCCTTTCATTGTCCGAAGGTAAATCTTTAAAAGGAATCCATCCCCCTGCAACGGACATGGGAGTTTTATTTGTCTCAGAGTTTGTCTCCTGAATTACTTACTCCTCCGGGCTCAGTTTCCTGCTTCTAGCCTTGCCTGGTCCCTGCTCTGATGCTCAGCTTTACAAGGTCATTTCCAATTCCTACCACAAAGCAGGTTCATGTCTTTGTCTCTCCTATTCAGCATGAAGTGGCTTTGCAGAATTTTCCCTTTGACTCCCCTTTTAAGTCTCTACTACTTCTACCCTCCTCCCTTGTCATGCCTGAGGAATTTAATCTCCCTTTCAGGGTCTCCCTGAAGAAAACTGGCTTATTCCTCCCACCTCCCATTCAGACAACCTCCTTAGCATACCCCTGTTCAGGCAAAGCACAGCTGCCAAAGTTAAGTATGTTGCCTGTGAAGCACAAAACAGTCTAGCCTATGAGGTGCAACACATTCACAGTAACTCATTCACTATACAGAAATAATCTCAACACCTCTATAGCATAAGACTGCTTGAAAGTTCACAGGATCCTCCAGCCACCAAACGTGGAGGATCAAATCTTTGCTGCTATGAATTTGCTATTAGCGCTTAAATAGAAATGTTGCTGTAGGCAAAAACATACAAAACAAATCAGTGGCAGCAACTTGTACCTTGGCCAGATTATCTCAGCAAGAAAACTGTAAATAAATTACAACACAAAATATAGGGGTTAGTGATCCAAGAGAAGATTAACAGCCCATAACCAGATGCAAGTGGATTGGATAAAAAAAAAAAATAATTGGAAGCATGTTGCAAATAGTTCAGTTATTCTGCCTGTGCCAAATGGGCAAGCAAAGCACAGGAATAACTGCCATGGACAACCACACTACAGAGATGCGGAGACAGAAAAGGTGGAACCCATCTACTTGTTTCAAACTGTTCTTTCTAAGCATTATAAGATTTAGCTTTACCCCAAAAGTGACAAATGGTCACTTTTTTTGCAGCCACACTAAATGTCAATACAGATGGAGAAAACAGTATTTATTTCATGGCAAACTCTGATCCTTTTAAGTCTGATTTAATCTTGGTTTGGAAAATCAGATTTCAGTTAAAAGGTAATGAAAAAACAGCTACAAGGAAATGATGTGCCTACTGTCTCATACACTGGAAACCCTGGAGCCTCTAACTCACAGGTCACCTGGCAGACACGAGATGAAGAGCTAGGCAGACAGTGGAAAGCCACATGGTTTTTGACAGTTGCCTGGCTTTTGATTGTATTTTACTTAAATCTGTCATCACTAAATTTTATTGCAACAAACCAAAGCAGCAGCTGTTGTGGTCAGAAAAATTCCGGCCATTACTAGTTTAATACAAAATGGAGACAACAACCACACTTAAAAACCAACACTGAAAGAGAAAAGGATTTCAAGCATAAACAGGAGTGAGAAACAAGATACCAAGATTATAAAAGTGTTTAAGAGTTCAAAGAATAGACAGCTCTCTCTCTAAAAACTAATAATGAACTGTGATTGGATATCAAATGTTAATTACTGGTTTAGCCATATAACATTATTGAACTATGAAATTGGGATGCGTAGTTTTCTGCATCATTCAAGTATCAAAGACATTACATGCAAATTATTTGTTTACAGTGAAACAGAAAGTTGTATACATCCCCATTTCATGTAATATGGCATTACATGACATGCAGCAGTTCAGAATGTCTCTTGCCAAATTCTGAAAATGCTAGCTTTTATCCAGAAGCCAAATACCTATTCTGTTCTGCATAGCCTGGAAAAAATGTATGCTTCTCTCGAGAAGACAGATGTTCGTAGCTGACTGACTATTCAGTTGTCCCTGACATGTTAGTATACAGGTAAGAAACATTATCCATGCACTCACACATGCTCTCTGCAAGTCTATTCGCCAGGGGACGAAAAGAAGAAAGGCAGTAGTAAGCTTTGCTACATCACTCAGTCATACAACCTCTGGGCGCAGCAGCCACCTAAAATGAGTTCATGTTACTAAACTCAGTGGCTGGTATGAGAAAGAGGAAAAAAAGGACAAACATAAGAGCAAAGTGAATCTGCTGATATTACAGAAAACAACAGATGCAGGGAGAATGAGAGAATGAAGACCACTAATATTTATGCTGTTCTCCTGCAATTGGCAGTGAAGATCCACACATATGAGCCTAACTAACAATACTGATGGTATTTTAACATAGTGATCATCAACATGTGGTCTGTGGGCTATTTCTAAGGCTCATCAAGACGTAGTTACAAAAAGCAAATCTATTGCCAGTCAAGTTAAATTCACTTCAGAGGGACTCACATTTCTGCTGGAAATATTTTCAGGGTTTGAAAGCACCTCTCCACTGCCAGGTGTCAGTTACCAGCAAGCAAGCCCAGCAAGCCATCTTCTACCTATATGTCCCTTCAGGTACCAATGCCTGCTGATAAAACATTTCTGATATTCAAGAAGGATGGCAGACAGAAGGAAAAAGAGCTGGGGGCCAACTCTTATCCCACTGTAGTCAATGGGGAAATCCCCACCAACAACATGGCAAGGGTTTTGTTTACCAAGACCCCTGCTGGGGGAAAAATCCAAGGGAAAGGACCAGCACTGACAACCTCATTAAACAACTTTACAGCATTTCCAAGCAATAAAAGGCTTTCAGCATTTGGAGCACCAGCAAACAAGCAAGCACTAAACTCAAATGGAGAGAATGCAACTGAACACACGTGAACACATATTACAGCCCCACAGAGACCAGAAGTAGTATAAATGCTCCCTACCCGCAGTTCGGCTGGCAGGGCGCAGTCTGCTAGAAGAGCCAGATCTTCCTGCAGCCGGCAGTTACCTGTGGGCTCAATCGTCAGCACTTTCACACAGGTCCCTGGCTTGGAAGAGACTGGAAGAAGCAAAAAACAAAAGAGCAGAGATGCCTAAATTCCTCTACAAACATTCTCTCCCATTTAGAAAAAAGACACACACTCCAGGAAAAAAATCAGTACTATTGCTGTTTAGCTTTTACCGCAAAATACATGTGATTCTTCTATGTAAACATGCATACAGCACCCCTCAGTACAGTCGGTGAGCAGGGCTGGAAAGGGATGCATGTATTCTTGTCTCTCCTCAAACCTCCACTTAATTCCTTGTGCTGTAATATCAACTGTGGCAAACACAAAGTTGCCACAGGCATATTTCAAGCCCAACTTGCTCTCTGCAATCCTTGTCATCGATTGCAGTTGAGGCCCATTGATCAGGCTGCCCCCGATACCTGTAGGAGTCATTCATACAATGCCTTCCCCAGCTGACCACCCCTACCACTGACAGTGTCACCTAAGGTGAAGCCCATGCCAGGAAATATTTAGTTAAAATAAAGCTGCTTCCATGCCTCTCTGCTCTGTCAGATGCTCTCATGGGTCCCCTTTCAGTTGTGCCATCCTAACTTTGCTCCAGGGAACAAAGGATTTATTCTTGTTTAGGTAGTAAGTTCTGTGTACCCGAGTCTGTCCTCTACTCTCTACCTGTAGATCCCCAAAGCACAAAGACCCTCAAAACACCTGGACTCCTGTGTTTTTTGCAAACATTAAATAAGCATCACTACCACCAAAAAGATCAAATAAACCACACAGAGACGGCAACTTCATTTGCCTTTTTCAGACCTAGTATGTCTTCCTGTCTTGCCCTACCAACCTACGCAATTAAACAGCCTAATAAAGGGGAAGCAAAATATATAATCATACTTTTGTGGTCTTGCTACGACCAATGTTGCTGTGGAGCTCATTGAAGGCAACTCCCCTGACTTCAAATGAGCGGCAGTCCAAAGTACACCCAGCTACTGTGTTACGATACCACTGCCTACACAGCCTTTCCTCTTTCTGGTCACCTCCCTCCCGCAATTCACTACCTCAGGTTTGTTTTCAGCTCAGCATCCTTTGGGGTGAGGACTAAAGCATGTAAGACATTCAAGAGGCCCTGGCATATACGGAAGAATGTGAAAAAACATGGAGCACCGCTGGAAAATGTGAAGTTGTGGTAAGGAAGGCTCGAGATGCTGTTGGGAGCCAGAGAGATGCAGAGTTAACTCTCAAGGACAAAAGAGTTAAGCAGACCCATGCTGAAGCATTCAGAAGAATTTCTGACAGGTATGATTCACCGCATTAAAACCCCTTGCAGGTGAATCACGCCACCTTGAGACCTTATTTTTCCTGACATTTTGTGCAGCATTACACGAGCTCCGCCAGATGACTCCATTGGGCCGTGGGCGAAACAAGACCATGATGTGCCACAAAACAAGTTCTCCACCCCCTCCTCCATGTTACTGCTGCACCCTTCAGATATGCCACCACTGTACCTCAAATAGGCTGAATATCCCAGAAAGATAGTGGAAAGAGAAGGACAATCTACCAATACAAGACAGGTACTATCTTTGCTACACACAGAGCTACACCAGCAAGGAGACAGGCTGCTCTATTAGCACTAAACACTACCTTCAGATAGATGACTTCCAGGGTAAATAAGCCAAGAGGAGACCTGGCACAAACACAAACAAGACTGAATGTGTTTTCTTGAAGAGCCCTGTCCACTTACAGACCAGCATCAGAGAAGGAAATTTCTCACTGTGCAATTAGAAATTCTTTATGGCAGAGAGGATCATTTATATTTGTGCAGTGCCTATTATAACAGTCGCCAAGTCAGTCAGGTTCTGTAAGCACTAATGGACCCAGCAAGTTTTAAGCAGTAGTCAACAGAAAGAGTTCTTCCCTTGGGATGATCTACAAAGCATCTGTGCACATTCACAGCAACATGAAAGAACAGTGATTTGTCCGAGAAGCAAATCTATCATGAGACATGTCAGACACTGCATCTCTCAAATCCAAGAGCACAGCATTCAGTATCACAAGCAACTCTCTGCTACTAGAAACAATAAAAATCAAAGTGACAGAACAGGAATAAGCTGTTGGCTTCAAGCAAGCAGCAGTGACCATCACCTTCTTGCAAGAAGTAGGAATGAAGGGTTTTCTGAAAAGAGCAACATAAACAATAGAAAGAGCTGGAGGGAATAACCCAACTACGGTTAAGAATGGAGGATTTTGTCTTCCTTCCCAGTCTAGCCCAGCTGTATAGCACTGAACATCACCTACCAACTCATCAGCTGCCTTTGTTTTACTGCTCAATAGTTCTTTGTAGTCTTTTGTTTCAATTGAGCCAATGCACCACAAAAAATAAGAGCCACAAAAAACCCCACCAAACTCCTAGACCCTTCGAAAATGATGCCACACTCAGATACCTGCCTTATACAACCTCCTCCCAATGCTACGGCTAGCTATAACCACAGATTCTGTACATCCAGTGCCTCCGCTATGAAGGCAAGCACCACAAACCTTGTTCTCAAGCTTTTTGCCCTAAAACTTGTAGAAATAACTGCAGAACATTTATTTTCAAATATCACCACTTCTAAAGGAAGGACTGTGGTTTAATCTGGACAAATCCTGCCCGAGCTCTTCCAAACACTGTAACAGTTGTTTCTTGTTATAGCCACTGTATACAGGTGGGAGAAAATATGCAAGCATTCACACTGAAGTCTGTCTCAGGTTCAACAGAAGGCAACCGGGTCATCCTCTTCAGGGTTCTCCTAAACTACTGTCTGTGCATGCCAAGATACTAAGTGCTTTTGAAATGCTGATTACCTCCAGATAATGAGATTGCAATTACCCACTGGAGCTGCACAGGCTTGAGTTCATGTTGTTTTATTAGGCACGTTTCAACTTTATAATACAGATGCAAGACATGACCCTGCTCTGCAGACCTGAATCACATGTCTGTTCCACAGAAAGCACTTTGAACAAGCTGAGATTCCTAACACACTAGAAGGAACAGTAATGCTTTGTCAAGTGCCAGACATAATGCGATCTAAGATCTTCCCCAATTTTTAACTTCTATAGTTCTTATATGTATCACTTTCTGGAGAATCAAGTTTTCCTGGCTTCCACATGAGATCTGAGAAAGTAACTTTTAACAGACCTATCAGCAGTTCTGTCTATTCATTTGAATCCAACCTGTCATAAATAAAAACAAAGCCTAGCACCTCCATCAGTGCTTTACACCACCCATTGATTATGCCTGCTGTCAGGCCTTAGAAATGAAGAACAACTGTTCCCTCCCAAAGAACACAGAAATTAAATGATTTGTCCAGTGCCATCCAGGAAGTTTGTATTACATTTCGAAGTGGAGCTTGTATCTGAAACTCTCAACTGACTAGAAATGTTTCTTCACCATTTTCCATTTTTAAACCCCACCAAGAAGTCAGCTTTTTTGCAATTCACAAATTTAACCACTGGACTTGATGATCCTTAAGTTGCCAGTGACATACTATGCAATGGCTTCAGACAGCTAGCAAGCTATCCACTTTATTTTCCTCCCTCAATCTAATACAAGATTTAAACTTGATGTATTAAGGTATAGTGGTCATCTCCAGGGTCTCAGCTAGACTCTGGGAGAAAAAGATAAAAAGGAAAAAAACCAGGGCGGGGGGCAAAGATCTCCAGCATCTCTCTGGATTACTCTGATATCAAAAGATGCCACAAGGTAATTTTGTTACCTGATTGTCCGAGTAGTTTTTATTTTCTATTCATGGCATTCACTACCACTTCCCTTTTCCACCACTTATTTAATACACAAACTGGTATCTTAAACTATTTGTAGCAAGAAACCAAGAAATGCATTTCTAATTTCTTCAGATGCATGTTTACATTTGTGTTTACACAGCTGATGTAAGATACAGCTTCCATAAGGACTTGCACCCTGGTCTACATGGGAATCACTGTACTGTGGTAACCTTGTACCCCACCACCACCACACAATTGCACATGCCTAAGGGGAGACATACACATGGTAATATCTTCCATGTGATTTGCAGGTGAGGAATTTCTTGAGCCAGAAGTATTGTCCCTATCTATTAAGGTCTGCAACTTCATGAGGCTGAATAATTAGAACTCATAATTCAAAAGGGAAAGGTGGAATATCTACATCCTTACCTCTTAGATGAAGGAAGAAGATGCTATTGACTTACAAGCTACAGACTCGATTACCTTCTCAAACTAGAATTAACTTGACTGAAGTAAAGGACTTAACTCAGAGGATGAAATGAGAATCAGATGTTTTCAGCCTGAAGGTTTTGTTACCAGATAGTTTTTTTTACTTAATGACTAACACCGCTTTGCCCTACTTGTGCTGTTTTGATTCTTCTTCCCATGTTCTTTAGCTTGAACTAAGGAGATGAATTATAAACTCCAACTGTTGGTTTTCATGCAATAAGTTGATGTCACAATTAGATCACAAGCTCTTTGGATAACAAAAAGCCCTTAAATAGAGGATTGCGTCATTTCAGGTTTGGCACATACGAGTGTTATAAATACACACATGCTTTCAGAAATACTTCTCTGCTTTTAAAAGTGTTGTACCTCTCTCCGCATCCATTTTGAGCCAATTATCAAACGTTTTACTTTGGTTAGGGGTCAGACAAATGCAGAAAAGGACTTCTAATTGTACATATTTTATCTCACCAGGAATTTAAACACACTCTCTGCTGAAAGGCACTTCCCAATATATCCCACAGTGCTCCACAGCAAAGTCCTGCTGCCATGGCTGCTCTACTATAATGAAAACATTCAATATAAGTGATAAACATGCATGTGTCAGAAACCACTACAGCTGCCCTACAGAGAGCCCATGACTGAAAATTATCATGCAAACATGGGAATTCCACAACAGAATCATTATCTGGAAGCCGCAATGGCACCACGAAACATCCACCATCGCGCTTTCCCCTTTCTTTCTGAAACAGCACACAGGCACAACAGAGACAACAGCAAGTAAAATGCTTACCAAATTCATAGACTTTTTTACATTTGGTCTCCAAATCATCTATGAGGTCCTGCAGCCGACACTGTTTGGCTAACCTCTTGCAATCATTTACATATTCTACGTCGATATCAAGACGACCTGCCAAGAAGAAATGCACCCAGCTCTTTTAACCCATATCATTTAAGTGTAAAAATGGCAAAAATTAAGGACTGAAGACTTGATGGCACAGAAATTCAGTAATTAGACACATCGTCTCACTTTTCAGCATTCAGTTACAACTCAGTCCAAGAAGCTAAGATTTGGTACCTCACCACCCACCACTTCAATGAATCTCAGTTTGGCATCTAATTCACATTCCCACTTTCCAGTGTCTACCCTAATAGCTTTATTCAAGAGGCCAAAGACCGAGCAGGCTTATACAAAACATGTCTAATTTCCTCAGAAAAGAAAAAATAGCAGTACAAAAGCAGCATGTGTGACTGCCACCATTGGCTACCTGGCTTTGGGTAAGAAAAGACTTTAGGTTCACAAGCTGTCATCCCAGAATCTCTTATCATCACTGAAAACGTGGCAAGGAACATTTCTGAAAACACTGGACTGGGGAAGCACAGCGTTGAAGATAAAGTTATTTTCTGGCACCACCTCCTGGCCCGAAATAGTTCAGCACTTAGCATGCCTACAATACAACATTTGGCATTTTCATAGAAGGTTTAGGATCAGTTTCTGTTCAGAAAAAAGTATTAGAAAGTAGTCAAAGCACTCAGCTCACACTGCTCAGGTCTGCCAGACTGAAAATGCCCTACGTGGGAACCTGGCTTTTCACCACCTTAGGGGATTGTTATCCCAGACGACCGATTTACCTTCTTTAAGTTAAAAATACATTCTCCACATCCATCCAACCAATCAACCTAAGCTGACTTTTTTTTTTAATTGACTGTATAATTATTGGCAGGACAACAACTGGCAAAAGGTACAAACAACTTGGAAAAGCTGGGGATTGCTCACATTCTCCCCTTCTGCCAGCAGAGAGGATGTGTTGGCAACTCATGCACCCAAACACAGCTATCTGCAAGCCTGTGCCACCCAAACAGTGATATGGCAGAGGCACAGACAGCCACCCACCAGCCATGTATACATACATTAGACAGTAAGTTATTTACCTGTGTATAGATACTGCAGAAGAGAGCCAAAGGCTGCTGGATTAATCTGAAATAAAACATGAGAAAGTTATCTTTAGAATTCCCAGGAACTTAATAACAAGCTTGAAACTTGTCTGGACACAAACCTGTCTGATCCTGAACAAGTCAAAAAAAAACCACTTAAATAGCAAATCACACACTGTCCCTGATTTCCTTGCTCCTCACATAACTAATGCTGGCACTCCACCTGGCTTAGATAGCTCTTTAAATGTATCAACTGATACTAATTCATGTGCCTTGGGGGGCAGGACCTGACTAATGGAGGTGCTCCAAAGACACACTTGTAATACAGGCTCCGTAAAATCCAGTCTTTCATTGGTCGCAAACATTTCCAGCTCTTCTTAATTTGAGAGGAAAGAGGAGTTCTTGTACAAAGAAAAAGGAAAGACATTAAGCAATGTCCTGAGAAACTGCAAGTATGTTTCTCACGACAGGTTTTGTGCAGCCACTATCAAGCTATAAAAACATATGCTAGAGTATTGGTGACTAATGGATGGAATGCACTTATGGCCTATTTAGTTCTTGCTGCAAGGGCAACAAAAGGGACTCAATTAGTGCCAATTATGGAGGCGATGTCTTCACCACAGACCACCTGTCCACCAGGAATTAGACAGGCTCAACTCATCCCACAGAGGAGCTGTGACACAGCTGGCAGATGGTAATAGCTACCTGCTACTGCAATTAATTAAGATATGTTCAAGCCCATGACAGAGGGAACAAAGGGGAAGTACGCAGTCTACAGCCTTTTGTTATCTGAGTAAGGTGCTATTTTATTGCATTAAGTGCCTCCAGGAGCACTTGACTAGGGTCATTCTGAGCTCCAGGAACTATTTATTCACTGTGGAAATTAACCCTCAAGCTGTCCTTCTTACTCACTTTTCTCACCCAGTTGAAACAGGAAAAGAAAGGAAAGAGCGGGAAGCACAGCCCTGCTCACCAGTGGATGCTTCAACACTATCATGTTCTTCCCCTTCCATTTGGTCTCAAACATTTCTGCAAAGTAGACACTGCGAGCGCTGAGAATGCAGCGGTGGGCACAGAAGGATTTGCCATGAACAATGAAAACGATGTCGCTTTGGTAACCCTGCTCCAGCAACCTGTAAGGAACAAAGAGATGGGAAATTCATTGCAGAATGAGAAAGGAGAGAATGGAGTAAAGCTAGCGGGGGACATGGTACAGTTACATCTAAATGAACAAATACCTCTGGACATTGCAGTCTCTTCCTGCCCAGTAAGAAGGCCAGAATCTCTCACTCCCTCCAATGACTCAAAGAAGTTTCGTTAGTGCAAGAGGGAGGCTGGAGAATGAAACCTTCCTGCCTCTGGCAAACATGTGAAATAGATTTTAAAGCAGAACTAGTTGCCCCCGAACACATCTCTAAAGGTTAATCCTGCTGTCAGATGGCAAAAAGCCCTACAGGAGCACACATTTTCAAAAAAAATTACCCCACTACAAAGTATGGTGCAACTTTCCTGCTCTCTGGGCACTCTCAGTGTGCATGCTTTAACCATGCAGCAAATAGGAGAAGACTTGATGTCACCCACCCTCAGAAGAAGGAAGGATGTCACAGGCATGAAATGCAGGCAATTACCACATCAGAGATAAAGCCTTGTTTATGATTGCATGCCCATACTCTTATTCTTTAAAAGGAAACAAAACAAGATTGCTACTTCCAGAGTTTATGGCAACCATCACCAATGTTTCCTAATGCCCATCACCCCTAGTGTATATATCCTCACAAGCAACCCCAAGAGGTCAAATCAGGCAGACATCAGGCATCATACTCCTTCTAGACAGCAGGACTGGTGCACAGAAAGGTGTGGGGTCACACCAGGAGATGATGTCAGAGCAGGGTCTTGAATGCTGATCTCAGTCTCCTGCCACTAGAACATCTTTTCTACTAGTGTCTTGCCCAAAACAAAATAGAAGCAGTTAGGTGTTTATTTTTTGCCCCCTACTGTTGCCCTTTGTTTCAATTTTAATGCAAGGTCTGCTTGGAATGAGAAGCTGAAAACAGCACATTTTAGTTTACTTGTGCACTCAACCCTGCATCATCTGAGCCACAAACTCACCAGGAGAGAGATAAATCACCCTGCAAAATTCTACTTCCCTGAAAGGCAGAATCTGATTTTACTCAGATAAATGAGTTTCTGTCCTCTCCTCTTTCCCCATGGCTTCAGAAATTAGGATGCTGTAGTAATGGGAAGATTGTCAGATCTTTCTAGGAGTTATTTGATCTCCAATTTTGAAGATACAGATGCTGAAACCTTGGTGGTTTGAGTTTTTTTAAAGTCAGTCTAATAGGAAGAAAAATACCCAACCAAACAAAAAAACCCCAAGTCTGTGTAATAACATCAGAACTACCAGGGTAGAAAAACAGCAAGAAAAAAAGACTGACACTACTCTTCTACTCCTAAAGCAAGTTAGGCTTCTTCTCAAGCTCTAGGCTAAGGCTACATAGTTTGACAGGCAACCTTCAGAACCATCTTAAAATTAGCATATTTTAATGAACAAAAAGAAAGAACTGAGCACTGTCTCTATAAGTCAGTTTGATGCTTCTTAATGTGCTCTATCTCAGAGATGAGATACCTTTCATCACTGCTGGAAACCTCAGCTCGCAGGCTATAGCACTTCAGGCCTGAAACTTAATTTCAGTTGACATATTATCCTAAATCACTGATGTGGTTTTAGTGATCTGATTTTGGTTTGACAGTCAAAGATGACAGTCTAATGCTTCTGCATTATAAAGACCAGCTTTCTGTTCACTCTGGAGTCTGTACCCACTGGAGGCTATATTTTAAATGCACACATACCTGGAAGTCATCCCTTAGGGCACAAAGAAACATCCCTTAGGAAGCTCTACATGCCCAGGAATGAGATATGGTACTGCTCAGTTGCCTTTCAAACCTGCCCTTAACAGAGAACTTGATATGAATATCCAGGTTAACAGCTAAGGAAGGATGACAGAATGCGTTGCACATGGAGCTGCCTCATCTGCTTACCGCTGTAGGAAGACATCATAGTAGTCTCTCTTCATGCACTTTGCTGTGATTTGTTTGTACTCCTTCAGCAGACGTCGGATGGCATCACTCAAAGCTCCATACAAACAACGTTCCCCATCAAAAGTGTTTGCCTCACACTTTGCTCCTGCAAAATGATCACAGGTACATGCCAGAAGGCCGAGTTAAATCTTCCTCAAATGTCCCTGAATGGTCGCAAAGTGAGTATGACTTTTGGCTGGTGACATGTTTCACTGTGATACCCTATGCTAGTGTGCATATTTACAAAAACTAAGCTCCTCTTACATGTCTATAACCTAAAGCTGTTCTCCTATAGCAAAATCCCTTTCTGAAGAAGTCATGACTCATTTAAACTGACTTCAGTAATAAGCCTCTATAAGCCTCGCAGCATGGCTCCAGTAGTGTCCTGGGAAGAAGAATCTCACTGTACAAAGAGTACAATCACTTATTGGACTTTTAACAGCTCCTCCTAAAAAGCATTTCTGCCTTGCACAAGGCAACAGTTACCTCTTTAGGTTAGACTCTGCTAGAAATTTGGAAGGCACTTGCATTTTGCTATTTCAGAATTACACAACCGGTTGTTTAAGATGCTCTGAATGCAGTGGAAGAGATAAACCTTTTGAGATCTGACTCTGCACTCTGATTCCTCTGCCAGAACACAAAACATCATCATTACGTAAGGGAATTCGGGTGCTGGGAAGCAAACAGGCAGATGCTTTACCTGGAGAGTTTGTCTTGCTTTGTTTGCAGTTAGTAAAAGCCCTCACATTTCACCTTTAAGTTCTGTTCACAATGCAAGGCTATCAGAAGAGTACTAGAAAGTTTTATACAGAGTGTTCTTCAGATGAAGTACAATTCTTACATCAGCATACTCCCAACAGCAACGCACCCTCGCAAAACATCAGCTGTGATTTCAGAAAGTCATGCTGCCTCAAGTCATCACAGAAATTTTCCCTGTAGCAAATTCAAGCAGCAAATAGCAGCAAAAGGGACCATGAAAGTATGTCCAGGGCTCTCACTGCAGCCTGAGATCACTGATCACATAGTTGGTTGTAACAGAAGAAGTTTCCATAAGGGACAGTTAGAAGGATATACAATCCCTACAGACCAGTATGGAGAAAGATATTACACCCACAACCAGGATACTTTTGCTCACCATTGGCTAGAAGATAGCGTACAAGTTCCTCATGTCCACAGAGGCAAGCATAATACCTGACAATAACAAGAAAAAGAAAATTAGAGATACAGTAGGATGCAAAATTCAGTGTTGCTCTTTCCGTTGTCAGTCTGACTGCTGCACGCTATGATAACGAGGGACCAGCACCCACACCAGATGTACAGCAAATCCACCCCCCAAAAGTCCTACTTACGATGAGTTTTGTTTTCTCTTTCACAATCTAAGCCCTTCATGATTCTCTTTCACAAGGACCTCAAATTGTCCTACAAACTAGGAGAATCCTGTAACGTGCATTGCAGCAGGCAAATGTTAGTCTGCCTTTACTTTGGTAAGTTATACTGCAGATGTCTAAATGCACTTTGGAATTGGTATGTGGGGAGGTAAAAAGCTCACATCACTCTCCTCAGCACCAGCATGGGGATTCCTCACTACCTACTGCACGCTCACAGCATTGCCAGGCAAACTGTGATCCCACAGTCATTTTGCATTTCACAAAGCCAAGCCTTCACCTAAAAAGACATGCTAGAATGCTAGAGACTTTGAGGGGGGAAAAGCCTAATCAGGCCAAGAACAGACTGCTTAATCCAGGTAATTTGGTCACAAAATCATAGAATCATAGAATCATTATGGTTGGAAGAGACCTCAAAGATCATCAAGTCCAACCGTACACCTGATGCCACCCTGTCCACTGAACCATGTCTTGAAGTGCCACATCTAAAATCAACCACCCTCTGAGCATTACTACAGCAAATGTCAGTCAGATGTGGAGACAAAGACATATTTAGCACAGCACCCGCTGAGAAGAGCAGCAGAAATATGTAGTCAAATCTCCAAAAAGCAGAACCTGAGACATTTAGTAACAGTGCTCCTAGCTGCCGATGCAGAGAGAGCAAAAGAGCTCTGAAAGCCCTCCCCTCCTGCCCAGCCAGCACTCCCGGCTGCAGGACTCACAGAGGTGTACTGTCCCATTTATCACGGACGTTAATTTCCACATCTCGCTGTTCAAGAAGGTACCTGGAAAAAAAGGGAGAGCAAAGTTATAACTTCACGCAGCTACTCACTCAGTTACATTCTCCTCTTTCAAAACACGTAACTTTGAGTTTATACAGTAAGTTCCAAAGGTATCACAGGATCTCGCATTCGACTTGGGGAGCTGTCAGCTATGGCTGAAGGGGCATCAGGCAAGTCCTCAACCCAAAGAACTGCGTTCTGCAGCATGGTTTGGCAGCTCCCTTCAATCTTAAGCGGCGCACATGGGGAAAGAGGGGAATCAACCCACGTCCTGCTGACCCCTAACAGGACAGTAATCACAAAAGGAGCCTGAGCAGTTCACTAGTACCTTCACATTCTCTAACAATGCTCACAGCCTGGCTGCTTACAAGTGGCCAAGTTTACAAGGCCAAGGCTGGACTCCCATTCTGCTTGCGACTTTTCTTGCCACGAGTAACAACATCAATGTCACTCCAGGCTGCTCTTAATTCCTGTCACTTCCTTGTCCTGCACATTTAGGCTATATCAAATGCTGCCAACGCTCCTTTTTTGGCACCTCTAGAAGCCAGCCTTTGCCTTGCACGCAAATCTCCTACACAGTCTGGCTCTTGTTATAGCCTGTCCCCAACTACCACAACAACCATCTCTCCTAAGCACATGTAAAAGTCCCTATCAGCCTTCACAAAGATTCTCAAGGTTTTGGGTTTTGTGTGTTTGTTTGTTTGTTTCTCATCCACCACATCAGTCCACTCTGTCACTCCCTCCATCTTTCCTATCTCAAATTTCAAGTTCCTCTGACCATATTCAAAATCCCAAGCAACTCGACTCCTTTCTACTCAGTCCCATATGGTCAATTTGTCTCATTTGCTCTGACAGCATTCCCAGACCGACCACTTCTCCACTACTGCTTCTATGCTGGTCATCTTAAACCTCTGCACGGCCATCTGCATGGCCTCTCCTTCTACAGTAAACCTGCAATTTGCTGCTAGCAATGAATTAATCTAACTGAATACACGACTGATTAACAAGGTTCCCCAAAATTCATCTATTTGTCTGTTTATCCTTGGTTAGTGAGCACCTTGACAGAGAGGCTCCTTCTGATTATCTGGTAAGACCCACATGTTGGGAGCTGGAGGAATCAAGTAGGATCAAAAGGTGAACAACAGTCTTAGATTCAAACCATGAGATGCAGCAGAAGAGTCTGTTGTAAACTCTTGGCCTTTGTGATACAACATCCATTCACTGGGCAGACAACAAGCGCATCTGACTCCTGATCTGAAATCACTGCAGCTAAGCCACACTGCTTCAATATAAGCAAGGAGACTTGACCTGAAATTTGGCAGCCCGCTATTTCTCAGAGATACTACCACAGTCTACAGCACAAGACACCTAAATATTTCCATGATGATTACTTCCCAGAGATCCAGCTTCCTACCATCACAAATACAGTTTCAAATGGTAGAGAAACAGTAGCTGAAGAGACTTTCACAAGGACATTTACTATAGACAGCATTCATACCAATAAAGTACACAATAAACACCTGATATTCAGATGCCTGAATGTTAAGAAAACAGACAAACCTAAGAACGCTAGCAAAGACTCTGTGTACACCCAATTCCTTGGAAGAAAAGCAAGGCACGTTTATTTATAAAGAAATAAATACTCCTTTTCACACCCCAGGCATCTCCTGGCACAGCGGCTGCCCGAGGGATATCCAAGGCTGCCAGAGCCCGCTGGTTCAGCGGCCAGGGGAAGGCCGGGCAACGGTTCTGGTAAACACGACCCGCGGCG